TTTTTAACCATTGGTCCCCATTATGAATGAGGACAGGATTTTTGCACTGAGAATTATATCTATTTCTTCATTTGTCAGGTTAGAATACACAGCAGCAAACTTCAGGGATGTCGAAAATAGATATATGTTCTTCTATAAGGTTATATATATATATATATATATATATATATATATATATATATATATATATATTTATTTATTAAAGACATATTTTATGTTTAACAGTTGTTATTTTTATACAGAATAGATTATTTAAGCAAATGCTCTGTTTTATGATAAACAGTATTAAATAACATTTACTGGCCTGAATGTCGAGAAATTTTTCATAGAAAATTTTCGTTCTTTGAAAATTTCTCGGACATTCAGGCCGGTAAATGTTATTTAATACTGTTTATCATAAAACAGAGCATTTGCTTATATACTTGTATCTATAAAATAACAACGTTAAACATAAAATATGTCTTTAATAAATAAATTGTCGGACCTTGTCCATTTCTTAATATATATATATATATATAAAATGAAGAACATATATATAATCCGGTGTTCTCATTGATATTTTTTATATTTATTTAGATAGTATATAAAGAATTTAAAAGCATGAACTTAAAAATTACGGTAAGCACTAAATTAAAAAAAAGTTTAATTCCTTGATATAACATTAGATTTAAGGAAAACTATATACACACCTTATACAGAAACCCAACACCAATCCTTTATATATACCCTAAATCAAATCACCACCCCATCTATAATTAAGCATATACCTTTATCTATCCGAAAAGGAATAAGTACAAATTCAGTAAATTAGAATATTTTCGATGAACATATTAATTTCTATAATCAAGCTCTAAAACCCAAAACTAACTTATATAAAAAATGAAAATGGTAAGCATAGAAAAAACAGAAGTAGAAAAATAATTTGGTATACACTCCCATACAACCAAATAATAAAGAACAAATTAGGACAAAAATTCCTTGCATTAATAGTTAAGCACTTTCCTAGAGAAAGTAAACTAAGTACTATTTTCAATAAAAAATACTCTAAATCTAAGTTACAGCTGTACTGTAAACTTAGAAAAAAAAGTATTAAGAAACATAATGGTAATATCTTAAATAAACACTTAGGCGAAAACCAAGAAAAATTAGACAATAAAAAAATAAAAACAGGTGAAGATAAACAAAAATTATGTAACCGTAGAAACCCTCAAAACTGTCCTCTACAAAATAAATGTTGCGCGGAATCATTAGTATACGAATGCAATACCTCTTCTATTGAGAATCCCGAAAACATAAAAAAATCTATATAGGTTGCACAAGCCATGAGTTCAAAAAACGGTACAATCAACATCAAAGTTCATTTAGGATAAATAAATACAGAAAGCAGACATCTCTTTCAAAGTACTTCTGGCACTTAAAAGAATCTAATAAAACACCTATAGTAAAATGGAAATTAATAAGAAACTCTAGAATATGTAAGTCATTAAATGACCCATGTCTGTTCTGCATACATGAGAAACTATATATTACTAAGTTTATAAAAAATAAAAATAGCTATTTTTTGCCGCCATTGTCAAAAACATTCCATAAATAATATTTAAAAATGAAATTAAAAAATATGACCTGGCAATATACATACTTATATTTGATATAGAAAAATAATTTCATATAATTTAAGTAATTCTATTACATTTACCAGTCTTTAAAAGAAATATAGTCTATTAGTAATTAAGAGTGAAAATATTTTAGATTTGTAGTTAAATAAAACGTATTCTAACCTAAACATCACCTAAAAAAATCTTTAAATATACAAGTAGGAAAAAAATGCCGAAAGACTTTTTGCTTTAAATATATAAAAAAAAAAATACCCAGACGACATGAATATAACGGATGTCAGAATTTGTTGAAAAAAACATCCCAAGCCTCCCTAAACTTAACCTCTTTTTCGAACGTAACTCATAATTGATACAAAAACAGTTAATAAAAATGAACACGCTACCACCCGTTGTCTGAATGACTGGATTTTTCTGTGTTCTTGGAAACAGGGTATTATGAATTTTATGTGTGCATTTAAAACTCAGTAAATTTAAAAATAAGTTATTCCAATACTCGCTTGAAGATGAAATGGAACTAATGCGTTTAATTTAATTACAAAATTAAATTTGATGTTTTTAACTTCCATTTTTGAAACATGGTTATTACTGTGTAGCGGAGAAATATTTTAAATCAGTTAATTTATTTTATATATATACAAAAACAACGTTGGCAAAAATTATATCTGAATTGGTATGAGAAAGAGTAAATAAGTTGGGGAAATTTTGGAGCACTTCAAAAAATAAATTCACGCGTAAAATATACGTAAATTTAAGAAAAGATATAAATATTCCCACGTCAGTGTAAAACAAGAAAATCTAGATACTCCCGATCTCCCAAATAACTGGAGGACCTGAAGAAATTTCTCCTTCCGCTTACACAGGGAGTGCTGCTGCAATTTTATACAAACAGCTTCTAACACTTGCAAATGTTGTTTGGACCGAGCCATATGCAAAATAGAGAATGAGTCAATGGAAAATTGCAAAGAGCACAGTTCATTCTCTAATAGGTGCTGTCCAATCGAAGATTAATGTGCTGGTTGCGAAACACGAGAGCGATTATGGTGATTTAATCTGATGAATATTGCTACGACTTGTTTCCTACCTTAGAAAAGTACGTCCTATATATTCAGCTTCACACTGACATTTATATTTGAAAATTAAGGAAATTTTACTTAGATAAGACAACCGGTCCTTAACGAAGGAAGGAGAAATGGGGCGGTCCCGAAAACAGCACGTAACTTGGCTGAAAAGAAAGTGAAGGAAAGAAAATTTCAAGCTCTATCAATTATAGTTTGACATTTTCCTTCAAGCCAAGGTAATTTTAAATAAATCGGACACAGACTAGGACTGAACACAGGGGATTTGCAAAAACGTTCAATCTTACGTTCCAACGTGCGTTTAATGATGTTAGCAGGATAACCATTACTGATAAGAATAAAATAAACCCTACCTAATTATATATATATATATATATATATATGCGTGTGTGAATTGCACATAGAGGGCAGTTGTTATTGAACAATGCTCGATCTTATATAACAGAGTTATAAAATATATATAATGAACGGTCAGTACACCATTAGCACCTGAATACTTGCGTTTGGTATGAAATTACCAGTAGAAAATGGTGCATAATGTGTATATTTATTGATATATATATATATATATATATATATATATATATATATATATATATATATATATATATATATAGAGAGAGAGAGAGAGAGAGAGAGAGAGGCTTTGGAGACGCTAAAATGTCTGTTATTTGTGTTTATTCTATAGGCAATTACCGCTTCTTGTTATTTGTAAAACAGTGTTTACATATAGTATCCCACATTAAGACCTATTTCGTGGCGTAATTTTACTATTGATAGCGGAGTGTGTCGTTCAGTTGAATACTGCAGGTTACGCGATCGAATGCAAAATGCCGGCTTTTAAGAGAAATCGCTGTCAATGACTTTACAGTCATTTAGTTCCAGTAAATGAAAATTTCGCATCTTCCATAGAACGCGCCATCTGAGCTAAACAACTCTATAATGATTCTCAGGGTGACTGTATTAACAAAATTTTAAAGCAGCTACATTGTATATTTCGTGTTTATATGCAATATTAATAAGTAAAATAGAGATTTTGCGTTATTGTCAGTTTTTTTTTTTAATTTATTTTGTCCTCAATAGAAGTGGATACGTTCGTCTATCGCCAGGTTTATACTCCTCCCCGTCGTTTTGAAAAACAGGTAATGTTTATTCCTTGTTTCCTGTTTAGGTTTGAGTTTCCAGTTCATTCTAAAGTCTACCTTAAATATATTCCTAAATCTTCCGCCTAAACTTTAGTAAGTTTCGTCTAGCGTCCGGTTGACACTCCTCATCTTTCTTTTGAAAAGGAGTAGATTTTCATCCGTTGTCTCCTGTTTACGATTGGGTTTCATATTCTTTCTAAAGTTTTCTCATTCTCGTTCGCTCCCAGTTGTGCCTTAGGTACTTTATCGCTTTACTAAGGGTGAAATGATTAAATAACAAAAAATTAAATAAATAAACTATTACTTTCTACTTGAGTAATTAAGAAAACTTTCAACATGAAAGGAAATATTTTAGGTGAGTCTTTAAGCACTACACTGAACTTGTAGAGAGTTTAGTATCTTGAATGATTTTCAGTTACTTATTAGATAACTACATTGTATATTTCGGCCAAAAATGATAAACCTCACCTGTATTCTAAGTTGATTCATTCTTGTAGGTTTCCTGCAATTTGGCACATTTCTTACCGTTCTTTTATTGTACGAATAATTTCTTGAAAATGTAATAAAGAAAGAAAGATACGAAATTTTGCTCTGTGGAAGAGACGCCGGTGAGGAGGATTTCCCGGTCACTACCTGTTCAAGTCTTGTGACAACTGTTATGTCTTCTACACATCCTCATAGTATATGCTTTATACTTCTTCCCTTTATGACTTTACAAAAGCCTCTTACAGTAACCCTATAACTTGTTGAGTTCTTATGCTTTGTATTAGTTGTAAAATTATATAATTAATAAAGAAGAAAACGGTTTGTGTGCAAAAATGGAAATCAAGGAATTTAATTTACACACCGTAACAAGTGTAGAAATTCAACTCGCTGTTTATTTAACAGAGGAACCGATGTGTGACACCGACTTCCAAAGGTTTATAGGAAAAAGGGAATGCTGACTTCCAAATGTTTATAGAAAAACGAATATTGACTCCCAAATAATTATAGAAAAACGAATATTGACTTCCAAATGTTTATAGAAAAGCGAATGTTGACTTCCAAAGGTTTATAGAAAAAGCGAATGTTGACTTCCAAATGTTTATAGAAAGCGAATGTTGACTTCCAATGGTTTATAGATAAAGCGAATGTTGACTTCCAATGGTTTATAGAAAAGGCGA